AGTCGTGTAACATTTTTAACCATCAATAGTTGATTTTAGAGGTTTAGATTTAGATCAATAAAATGCACATTAAAATGCGGTAAACTTTGGGAATGATGCCAAAATGATAGTAATTTAGCATTTATACATGAGTTTGATTATTTAAGGTTGTGTTTAACAAATGCCATAGAAACAAAGACAAAGTAATAGGATTAGAAGGTTATTATTAAACTGCCACATTACACACATTCCTTGTGGATTAGGACTGATAGTAGTCATGCCCTCGAACCGTAAAGAACAGCCTGTTCCTTTGAAATCAAATGTTCTGAGTTGACCTATGACATTAATCTTCTAATTTGATTCATTATAAAAGCACTTTCCCACCTCATTCTGCTAATTTTTTTATTTTGTTTTCAAAGCCAGGGATTTTATTTGAAGGTTGGTGGAAGCGCTTACATCACCAGAATGGAGTCCAGTAGCCCAGGCTTCATAAACACAGGGACAATCCGCTGTGTCTGGTAACTTTCCACTGTTTGGACCAGGGGGTAACTCCTCACCCTAAAATTAGTTTCATTTTTTTGTGTATTTGTAATTGTTGAAGTAAAATGGACGGGTGAACAGAAATTATTCTTAGCAACCATAAGTATCCATTAGAAAAAGTAGTACAATAAAAAAACATTTTTGAATAAAAAAAAGAACATTAGCATAAATCAACATATTAGGTCTCGTATCCATCTAAATAATTAAGATTTTTATTTTAATCATTAACTCAGTATGGGCATGCTAAATTTAAATTGACTGTTGAATTTACACGCTAACATGCAGTCACTTTGACTACTCTCTTCTATCTTCGTTGAGGTTTTTACATTAAATCTTGGATTCAAATATTGTGTAAACATTTTTACACATAAGGGCTAGACTTATTATTTGTGCCTGAAATAATCTGTGACATACCTCCGTCCATATTTAAAGAAATCAAAGTGGTGTGGATGTTGAAATAGACCTAAGATATCTGTGAAGGTTTTCTATCGTCCAGGTCATGGTCAAGCTTGATTTCCTGGTGATATACAGGTTGGACGCGCACCGGCACGTAGCGACGTGATAACGGAATACGCAGACAGGTATTTAGCAAAGTGAAAATACAGAGTTTTTCACCCGGGTTACAACTAGGTTTCACTTTGGTACATCAGGTGCTAGCCAGGCAGATGGTCTCGTTACAAACAATGGAGTGTAGCATGAGAGTGGTTTGGTTAGGGAGTAGCAAGCCAAACAAACTATAGGAAAAAAAAAAAAGGTGAGATTGGTTTAAAGCCAAAGGCGGTGGCTGCGTTGTGGGGATGCCGAGGATTCAATGGTGAACCATTTAACTTGTGTGAGTCTGTGTGTGGGATTTGTCATCCATACAACAAATGCTTTTAAAACTAAATCGTCCAAAGCTGTTTTTCCTGCTTGGAATTTATTGTCTTCACACGACAATATCTGGACAAATCTAGTCCACACGATTTTTTTCAAGTTCTCACAAACAGCCGTTACAGCAACGGGACCAGATAAGTTAGACATGAAAGATCTGGATGGTGTGTAGAGCAGGACAGAAACTGAAATGAGTTATTTTCAAGGCGTACTCTGTGATCCCTTCCTGTCGCTCCAACCTTCCCCATCAGACGCGCTTGTTTTTGCTCAGGAAGCGACAGACTGACACCTCAAGTCTGCAGCAAACTTCACAGAGGGATTCTGTGTAGCTCTCTGTGGGGCCGAGGCTTTGCTTTGTAATAAATGACACCTTTCTACCTGTCATTGCCTCATCAGAGGAGGTCAGAGGATGAGGTGGGAGGAGGAGGAGGGTTGGATCAGGGGGAGAACATTCTGTGCCAGCAGACGCAGCACCGGCTTCCTGCTGCTGAGCACCACCAGCCTGCTAAATGGTGGCTAAGGCCACACAGTCTGCAGTTCTGATTGGTTTCTAAAAATAAATCTGTTGCTAAATAAGATTGAATTTCATTTTTTTTTAAACTGATAATCACAAGAATTTAAAAAATGAATTCAAGGGATAAAAATGAATAGGAAATCCCTTTATTCTCCCACAGTGGAGAAATTGTGGTGTTACAGCAGCATTACAGCAAAAGTGGTCACACAAATGAAAATAACAAAACTAAAATAAAAAAGTAAATGAAATTAAATAACATATAGTGTTTTTAAAAATATACCTACTCTGCAGTCACCTGGAGAATAAATAAGCAATATACACCTGTGGAAATTGCTGTAAAATTTTAACATTTTGTAAAATGTAAACTTTTTGAACTTCATTTAGAAGCCAACCTGTCTTGGTATTTTCTGGTTGGATCTAACAGACATCGTGTTCCTCTGACCGACCCCGGCTCTTCCTCCAACAGGTTGGATGGATAAAGCTGTGATATTTAAACAGCAGGCAGCAGTGTGCATCACTTCTCATTTGTTGTCTTTAGTTTGTTTGAAATACTTGGCAGATGAAGAACTTTTTAGCATCTTCCGTCATTCAGCTCCGTCCTTTAAAAGCAGCATCTTTTCCAGCAGACCTCAAGTTGTTTAGTTTGTGTTTAAACACAGCCTCTGGCTGACCTAAAATTATGACATATTAAAATTGACAGTTTATAAGTTCGTCCAGTTATTTCCTCTCTCAGATGTTCGTCTCCCTCCCTTTGTGGTCTGCAGAACTGACAGATTAACAAACATGAATCATTTAATGCTATAATTTCCTTTGTTTAATAAGCTGTTGGTGATGTTTTTATGGCGCACATTCACAAATCCATTTGAGCAGGTCAGCTTATGTTCCTGCTTTTATGCTGTACCTCTATGGGGTGAATTTTGTTCCGTTATCGTTCCAAGCAAAGAGAATATTTTGTAAAATAATAGTTTGAAAAACTAGAGTAGAGTAACCTTTCTGTTTTCTTAGATTTTGTTATTGAATACATTTTTGTTTTTTATTTTGTGCATATTACATTTTTTATTTCATATTTTCAATTTTTATTTTGTTTATATATTATTTTTACAGATTATTTTAGTTTCAGATTTGATTTTGTTCCTCTTTGAATTTAAAGACCAATACAGGCTATCACTGTTAACCAATAAAAATGTTCCTGAAAACGATGTAGACCAATAGAAATGCGTCTTTACTGCTTACACCAGAGGAAAGCCCGCCTCCAGAATGGAAGCGAATGGGATCTGGAAAACTCAGTCGGAAGAGAAAGAAATTAATAGAACTCATTTTGGGGGGAAAAAGGAAATAAAAAAAAATAAAAAATAAAACAAATAGAAGGTCCAAAAACCACAATTTCATTTACAAAAGCTCAACTTTGTTTGCAGCAATAATGGAACAAAATTCACCTCATAAACTTCATAATTCCTTTAATTCCTTCCGGCTTCATTTGAATGTTTCAGACGTTTCATCTTTTCCCGCTTCTTTTATAGCTGCCTTTCAGTTATAATGACCCTTTGGTTTTAATGGGTTTTTAACAAGGAATAAAGAGACTAAATATTATTTGCAACATTAACCAATATCTGCTTAAGCAGACAGAAGCAGTGTTGGTGGAACTTGGAAGAGGGAAGTGAAAATGTTTCTGGACAATGATGTGAAAAAATTAGATTTTTTTTTATTAGAAACAAGAATTTTTCAAAAGTCTGGTTTAAATAGATTCTTTTTTTTTTCTCTGTGTCTTCAGCCTTTGAAATTAATACATTAACAAGCAGGGGAAAATAGGTTCCTGACTCTCAAAAAAAGATTGTAAGGTATGTTAGGAAAAAATCTTGAGCGTAACGGGGTGATAAAAAGAAATTACTTTGGTTTTTGTTTCTTCTCTGCAGCACCCATCTCTTCCTCATTTCTTTTTAAACTTTCCTCCCTTCCCTCATCTGGAGTCTTCGAACCACAAAGTCTCGCTCTCCAAAACCTGAACTGACATCTAAAGTCACGTCAAAAGTCACATGACGTGGCCGGGTTTCAGCGCCTCCCCTAAATTTGCAGAAACGCCTCCTCCACTACTCAGCATGCGTCAAAGCCTCCGCTCATCTATATGATCACTAGTATTTAGTTAGCTCCATGTCGGTCATTCTTCGATAAAGCCAAACAGCTATGTTAAAGCAGCATTCGAGGTCGACTGATTCTGATTTTTTAAGGCAGTTACGGATTTCTGTCTTTTGAGTTGATTTTTTTTTTTAAGGCGGTATTTCTGTCTCTTAATCAGCAAATTAAAACATATTAATGAAGGATAGTAAAAATAGGGGGAGCAGCCCTCAATCTCAACACATGGCTGCCGAGTGCACTAATTATCAGCGAACACGTGGGAGTATCCGTTCAGACACCTTACAAGTAGGGTTATCGAAAGTATTGATACTCAAAAAAGTATCGATACTGAAACGTTGTATCCGGAAACAATACTCATTTTCAAAAGTATGGATACAGCCATCTAAAGTGCAGAATAGTGGAAAATGCACTTTCTGAACACTGTGTGATTGAATAATTCTGTGCATTTTTCAGTTTCAGACTTTTTTTTTAACAGGTGCAGCTGCTGAGAATTATTTTTGTTTAACTGGTTTGGCTAGTGTCACTGTTATGTGTGCAAAACATAGCCAAGGAAGGAACACTTCATTTTCATTTTGTAAGTGTTTTATCAAGCTTGCTTAATATTGTGCACAGCAGACAACCTCAAAATATTATTCTTTTTTATTTATTTATTGTATTTTTTTAGTAATGAAAATATTTCTGTTGAATTTTAGAGTCTTTGTTTTTATTCTTGTGGTATCGAAAAGGGTATCGAATATTTTCCTTAGAATCGGTATCGAGTTGAAAAGTTTAGTATCGTGACAACCCTACTTAGAAGAAAACAAGGTAAATATTTGCCTAAAATATCCGTCAGCCTTTAGGCAGGAGTTCATAAAAGGCTCATCCCGGCTCACTGAGCATCCAGTCCACCCTAAGCAAAATGTTTTTGTTGCTCTTGCTGTATATCTAAATACACTCCCTCCCCTCCTTGGTTCTTTTCCTTCAGAGTGTCCAGAAACTTGTGGCCGGCGAGCGTGCACAGCCGACGGCAAGTGCTGCCATCCTCAGTGTCTGGGCAGCTGCACGCTTCCTGACGACGAAATGGCATGCGCTGCATGTGTACATTACTACCACGATGGAAGATGCGTGGCCGACTGCCCTCCAGGCACGTACAGGTTCGAGGGTTGGCGCTGCATCACTGCTGAGTTCTGCTCCAAAGTTCACCTTCCGGAGTACTATACCTTCGTCATCCATGGAGGAGAGTGCATGTCTGACTGTCCGCCCGGATACACCCGATCCACACCCGACAGGTAAGATGCAGTCAATCCTGGAGATCTTTAAAGATAAGCTGCAGTTTCTTTTCTATCAATATAACAATGAATAACTTGCAATAATTATTTTTTTTTTTTTTTTTTCGTTTGTCAGCTGTATTCAATACTGACTCAATAAACAAAAAAGATTCTTATAAAATGTTTTATAAAGTATAACAAAACTTACTGAATAAAAAAAAAGATGAATAGAATAAAACATATGAATGAACATTTATAACATGAACAGAGGTTTAAACTAACATTTAAAGAAAGGATGTTGCGTACTGGGAATACACTAACTACAGGTTATCCTTGAAGTGGGCGGGGCCTGTGGTAGAGCTCTCTGATTTCAGTGTAATCTAAAGATCAGTGGCAGCAGACACTGTGTGCTGTCAGCAGTGGTTCTGGTTGCCCTCAGAGGAATATTTCATGTTCTGTGTCTCTTTGATTTCCCTGTTCTCCCCTGTGATTGGTTTCTCCCTCGTTAATCTTTCCCAGCTGTCCATAGTTTAGTATTTACCCATTGCATGTATCTAATAGGCTTGTCCCGATCCGATCCACGTATCGGATCGGACGCCGATATTGGCAAAAAAATGCGTATCGGCAAAGCATGTAAAAATGTCGATCCAGACTGCCGAACCAGTTTTTAAAAAAAAATCTGGTCCGTATTTTCCAGTTTCGCCGATTGAAACGATCCATTCCACTATTTTGCACCAGTGTTCCCCGAATCCGGTCCGCATTTTCCAGAACACCTTCAACACACCCACAGGTCTTTTTGGGTCTGTCTCCCGGCCTAACCATTAAAACAGGTGAATTGGTAGATAGCGGGAAAATGTCAGCCGTGTGGGATTATTTTATCCTGCACGATGTGTAGATGGAGACTAGGTGTGGAGGAGATTGGGGAGTACAAGGCATTTTTGTGTAATAGTTCACTATTATTTGCACTGATTTTTTTTTTAAACAGTGTCTTTTTTCAAGAGTAGAGTCCTGATTCTAAGTTAATAGAATATTTTCCACTCTTGTCTGTTTTGCATTTTTATTAAAACTTACAGTAATACTTGCACCTTTAACTGTTTACGGTTTTACTGTTCACTGTGCAATATTAGATTCCTATTCATAATTTTGTCCAGTTTGTGTTTATCTCTTAATAAACAGGTAAGTTTGTTGTTACCAATCATTGTGTTTTGTTCAATCTCACCTAATTCAGCTGGCTAGATGTTATCAAGAGTACTAAAACCCTTTTGAACATGAGTCTTACAACTAAGGCTAAATACTTAAACTTAAATACATGCTCGGATAGGCTGGTACTGGCCAGTATCGGTATCGGATCGGAAGTCCAAAAACAATATCGGTATCGGATCGGAAGTGCAAAAACCTGGATCGGGACATCTCTAGTATCTAAGTTCCTGTTTGTTTCCTTGTACCTTTTATTATACAAGTTTAATTCACATCAACTCGTGACAAAACTTAGCTCTATTAAATGTATTATCTAATTTCCCTTGAAGTCAGTAATGCTTAGAGGTATCACATCTTTTTTCTATTATGCTACAAATGTTTTGCATAATGCCGTCCACTTTTTCCATCATCCTAAACCCCAGAGCACAGCAGTGAAGTTACGGTGCTCCGTCATACAGCTCAGCTAAATGGGCGCTACATAGGTGATAACTAAAGGAGTTTGTCTGTTTACAGACAGAATTGTTTAAAGTTTATTCTGCATCCTTGCCTGTAGAGCGCATCAGAGCGTTTGGCCGCACAGTGTGAGAGCATACAACGTGAGCTGTGAACTCACACTTTATGATGAAACGCTGAAGGTTTTTTTTGTGTGAGCTGTAGCTGCGTGCACTGATTGAAAAAATCATACAATGTATGACCGGCTTTAGGGCGGGATTAGCAGCAACTTTGCACTTTAGCGATCTGGATTCAAAGTGGAAACGTATACTCTCTGCTGCGCCTGCTCTGCATGATGACAGCGGACAGAAAGAGACAGGCAAGCTAAAGATCCACTCGCTCAGGAGGACAGAGTTTGGTGCTTTTATGTCACCAAAGTCTCCATTATCACAGAAAAAAAGTTGCTAGTTTTGGTGCTAGGCGCTTTTTTGAAATAAAGGCGATAGAAGGATCTGAAAAGGCCCTAAATTTAGTGACTAAAGTAGTAAGTTAACAAAATTGGTAATGATTCTTTTGATTGTACCTCTGAGACAGACCCCTGAGTCAGAAGCACAAGTATGAATACTTTTGACTGTTTTTTTTGTTGAAACATCATTCAGCATAGCATTTTTATTCAGTCTCTCTTAGTTTGTATACAAAAACCCATATATTCTGATGAGTAAAAGCTAAAAGTTAATACATTTTCTTATTCATCAACCTTCATGATTCTTTGATCTGAGAACAAATGATAAAGAAGTCTGAAGACTTCAGAGGCTGATAGTGAGCATAGTGATAAAGTTTGTTAACCAGCTTCTTCCTTCCCGTCTGTCTGTGAAACGCTCAGCATGTCGTGCCAGGCCTGCGATGGCGTTTGTGACAAAGTTTGCGACGGGAAGGTCATCGACTCCATGGATGCTGCGCAGTCTCTCAAAGGCTGCACCGTTATCAAAGGCGACCTGCAAATCACCATCCGTAGAGGCCGTAAGTACCGCAGCCCACCACAGCAGCACCACACTATTTATTTCTGCTGTAAAAGTTGTCAGTGACTTTATAGACATTAGAACTATATAAGCAGGCTTCCTTGTTTCCTGTGCGCGGGTGGTAGGAGAAATTAATCAATTAGGATTCATTCTGAACTAACTTATGCATAGAAAGAGATTTCTATAACAAGTTACTGTTTGAGGTTTATTTTTATCAATCATGTTTTCTGCTAATTAGTGATTAAATTTCATCTAGACCTGAAATGATAAGAGAGCAGAATTAGAAAGCATGCAGTGCTTATATGTCCAGTGCCGTAGAACAAAGTGCATGAAGGCTGGAAGTAAGGAGGAAATGCTGCAAAAACAGTATTTGTTTTTCGTTTTTTTCCAGATAACATGGTAGCAGAATTGGAGAGCTTCACGGGTTTGATCCAGAGGGTGACGGGTCATGTCCGGATCAGACATTCACACACTCTGAGCTCACTGGCCTTCCTCCGCAGTCTGAGATACATTGATGGAGAAAGTCTTCATGACGAGTAAGACCAATCCACACGCAACCAGATCAAATCCGCATAGCTGCATATTTCTTTTAAAACTGTATCTATATTATTGATTTCATTTGTTTTTGATTTAAAACCAAATAATCTTAAAAGTCTTATTGTTAACTCAGGTGTGGTTGGGTCATTCCAGGAAGACTATATAGGGTCCAATATGTTTTGAAAAAGTTATTACAGATGCCGTCTTTTCTGGCCTATAGAACACACCTCACTGTAAGCGGCATTTACTATGCCTGAAGTGACCCAAGTCCAAACTTTTGTTTGCCCGTATGCGGCCTGGATCTGATCTTTTCATGTTAGCCTGAATAACACAGATCTGATTTTTTTCCTATGTGACCCAGGCCACTTGGCTCTGTGGTCCTGAATCCGATACGAATCTGATCTTTTAAATGCAACCTCTCTGTGTGAACGGCTAGGTCGCATTCATCCGACCTTAACGTCTTTAATACTCAACCAAGGTTACTATTCTGTGTCGCAGAAGCAGGAAGAAAAACAGCAACCATGAAGGACGTTGATGCGGAGAGCAGTCTTTATTTTCAACCTTCAACCTGTCCGAGGTTGTGAAAGAAATGAAAGATCACTAGATGCGCACCAGCTTTACCATCCATGTTTACTTCCATAAACAAAGAACACGCTCACTATTTGTGACGTCATTGCATCCTCTACTGCTCATGCGGGTCACTTAGGTTGATAAAATGCAGGAGATCACACACAAGTCAAATATATTTGGAAATGTGAACAACCACGCAAAATAATCCGATTTCAGAAAAAAGAAAAAAGGCCTGAGGTGTGAACGTAGGCAAATTTCTTTTAAAAACTTGAAACGTACACATAAGCCACACCGGGCTATAAGGTGCAGATTATACTTCTGCAACCGCACACATCAAAGGTCGCTTGCCTCTGGTCGCGAACCAGTTTTGCTGGTATGCTTCTGCACCGTCGGTCTGGAATTTCTAGGGACCCATTGCCGTTTCCCGCCAAAGCGCGAGGTGGAGCCTATTCGAGAACTTGCAAGAACTTCGGCGTTTGGTCATGATGCCAGCGAGAGTGTTTATTTTCCAAAACAACATGTCAGAGGCATCCTACAGGTGGTTGTACTTCGAACCTCCTCAATCAACCTTTCGTCGTGGTTATCCATTGTTGTTATTACTCCTCGCTTTTTAAAAATGGCGTCCCCCGGCACCGAATCGAGAAGGACGACCACACAGACAGCTGGAAAGGCATACCAAGGACCAATCACAGCTGCTTTTTGTCTGTGCGGGTTTGCGACCATCTGACGTGTAGTTAGAATTTTTGTAGGTGCGCGGCGACGGTTGCAGAGTCTCTCTCATGGTCGCACACAGAGACAGATTTGATGGTTGGAGAGGCCATGCGTCAGAAGTTAAAATTGGCCTTAAGCCGCTGATATCTATTGAACAGCCTGCAAAGCCTATTGGGGACGGCATTGAGAGGTCCAGCGTGCATACGAGCGTTCAACGTTTCACCTCGTGCTGTAAATTGAACTTTTGCCACTGGGGGCTGGAGAGTCAACCAATAAGAAAAGCTGATCCAGGAGTTTTTTTGGTTAGATCGACATTATCTGCAACCCATTATTGTTTATATAGACATTGTGCATTTGAATAATATCAAGAGAATTAAACTCCAAATGTATTTTAAAAAATCCCCCACAGGCTGTTTGCAGCAGAGAGCTTTCAGCTGGGGTTTCCAGCGCTGCCTCCCGGCGGTATGCTGGAGATCGGGCACTCCAAACAAGAACTGCCTATTTTAGTGGGATCATAATCCTGATGAACTGATGAACAGAGGATATTTGGACAACTTCTCAATTAGGAACGTGTTAAATCAAACCTTCCAACTCATAAAGTAAATGAAGCCAAGCTGCTCTTTAGCTTGAATCCGAACTCTGCACCTATTGCACATTATCGGGCATCAAATGCTGCTGAACTTTTAACTTTTAGCCCTTTAAATTGTTCATCTCATTGTATTTTTCAATAACGCATTTTTTGCACAAATGCCATTTTGCACTGAACCACTGCAACTTGCACACTGTCTCTTATCCTCTGCACTGTTCACACTTTGACCACTGCTGCACTTTTTGTATTTTTCTATAACTCGTGCCATTGTGAAATATCAATGCAACGTTCATAAGCTGTATGTAACGCAATTTCGTTCTGTATGCACCCTGTGCATACAAAATGACAAATAAAGAAGTCTAAGTCTAAGTGAAGCTACAGAAAAGAGCAGATAAACAACCAAAGCGTTGAGGCATCTAAGCAGCTTGACCACAATCTGATTCAGCGTCCAGATTTCATAGCTTGTTTTATTTCCTACTCATAATGCCTTTGGTGTGAATGCACCGTAAGTTGGTCACTCTGTTAGCTAAAGGCATGTTATAGAGTCTCTATAATCAAGTAAAGATGAATTGTTTACTAAATTTGTTGACGATTATTTCCATAATCGATTAATCTGATTGTTTGAGCCCTACACTAAATACATCTTTCATGGGAGTAATAGTGGAGTAAAAACTGAAAAAAAAGGAGGAAAATGGAAACAAAGACATCTAATGATGGCAACGAACTGTTAAGTTATCTCATGTGGTCTTCAGATGGCAGAACCCTAAATGCATGTAGGAAAATGGTGTGATGGTTTTAGGAAAAAAACAAAACAAGTTTAACCTTTTTGGTCATAACTTCTGAGGTAATGTTTCAGAAACAAACAGCACTAAGCACCAAGTGAAGCTCCACACACCTACAGAGAAGCACGGTGGTGGCTGCATCCGGTTAAGGCTCCATGATTTTCCTGCTTCCAGAGGAGACTTTGAAACCTGCTTTCCCACTTGTGGCCTAATGTATCCGGTCCAGTAACAAGTGCCATGAGTGAAAGTGTGCTTCACTCCGCTCGTCGGCAGCCTAAACAAACCTTGAAAGCAGCGTAATCTTCCAGTTTCTGGAGAGGGTCATGATGAGGCCTTCACTGCCTCCTTCATCTGTTTGTTTTTTGAGTTCACTGGAGTCTGACTGTCCCAAGGCAAACATTACAGTCATTCCTTCATGTTTGGACGTCACCCAGTGATTCATAAAACCCCTGTCTGGTTAATAACATGATTTAATAGGGGATTTGGTCTGTTTGCAATAAACTTCCAACTAAAAGGTCTGTTTGAAGAGTTAAAATAAGAAAAGTAAAGAAGGTTTACTTTCAGTCTGGCATGATTCATTGCAAACACCAGTTTAGAGTAAAGCACAGTGTTACTGACTTTCCTTCCCTGTCTTGTTTATCTGCTTTGTCCCTCCAGCCTGTATGCCTTCTCAGCATTCGACAACCAGCAGCTCCAGTATCTCTGGGACTGGAAGCAGCACAACCTGACCATAAGAGCGGGCAAGCTGTTCTTCCGGGCCAACCCAAAGCTTTGCATGTCTGAGATCCGCAAGATGTGGGAAAAGACGGGCATCCAGAGCCCCTTTGATGAGACAGGCTTCCGGAACAACGGCGACAGAGCGAGCTGTAAGAGTCGGAACCAGCCTCCATCCAAAAACCACAAACATTTAAATTGCTACGTCCAGTTCGCTCCACTTTAGGAGCAGCTCACAAACACCTATGTACTACTCAGACTGTTTGCGGGGCTAATTGCAGCCTTATTTAGCGCACACTGTTCAAATTACTATAGGTGAGCATTTCTAATTCTCTGCTGCCCTCGTAGGTGAAAGCACCATCCTGCAGTTTACGTACAACAGCACCAGCAGCACCAGGATCAAGCTGACCTGGCAGCGCTACCGACCTCCCGACTACAGAGACCTCATCAGCTTTATAGTCTACTACAAGGAGGCGTAAGTTTCAGCTATTTACTGCTCTTTTGTTATCCTCCCATATGAGCTACTGAGTGGAGGGGAAAAATAAAAACATAAAATAGAGTTTGGTTTAATACTGTAAGAACTGCTCTGTTTTCCTCTGGTTCTATGTACAGGTGCTGGTCATAAAATTAGAATATCATGAAAAAGTAGATTGATTTCAGTAATTCCATTTAAAAAGTGAAACTTGTATATTATATTCATACATTACATACAAACTCATATATTTCAGATGTTTATTTTGTTTAATTTTGATGATTACAAATGACAACAAATGAAAATCTCAAATTCATCATATCAGAAAATTAGAATATTGTGAAAAGGTTCAAAATTGATGGCCCCTGGTGCCACACTCTAATCAGCTAATTAACTCAAACCACCTGCAAAAGCCTTTAAATGGTCTTTCAGTCTAGTTCTATAGGCTACACAATCATGGGGAAGACTGCTGACTTGACAGTTGTCCAAAAGACGACCATCGACACCTTGCACAAGGAGGGCAAGACACAAAAGGTCATCGCTAAAGAGGCTGGCTGTTCACAGAGCTCAGTGTCCAAGCACATTAATAGAGAGGCGAAGGGAAGGAAAAGATGTGGTCGAAAAAAGTGTACAAGCAAGAGAGATAACCGCACCCTGGAGAGGATTGTGAAACAAAACCCCTTCAAAAATGTGGGGGAGATTCACAAAGAGTGGACTGCAGCTGGAGTGAGTGCTTCAAGAACCACCACACACAGACGTATGAAAGACATGGGTTTCTGCTGTCGCATTCCTTGTGTCAAGCCACTCTTGAACCACAGACAGCGTCAGAAGCGTCTAAAGAGAAACAGGACTGGACTGCTGGTGAGTGGTCCAAAGTCATGTTCTCTGATGAAAGTAAATTTTGCATTTCCTTTGGAAATCAAGGTCCCAGAGTCTGGAGGAAAAGAAGAGAGGCACTTCATCCACGTTGCTTGAAGTCCAGTGTAAAGTTTCCACAGTCAGTGATGGTTTGGGGTGCCATGTCATCTGCTGGTGTTGGTCCATTGTGTTTTCTGAGGTCCAGGGTCAACGCAGCCACATACCAGGAAGTTTTAGAGCACTTCATGCTTCCTGCAGCTGACCAACTTTTTGGAGATGCAGATTTCATTTTCCAACAGGACTTGGCACCTGCACACAGTGCCAAAGCTACCAGTACCTGGTTGAAGGACCATGGTATCCCTGTTCTTAATTGGCCAGCAAACTCTCCTGACCTTAACCCCATAGAAAATCTATGGGGTATTGTGAAGAAGAAGATGCAATACACCAGACCCAACAATTCAGAAGAGCTAAAAGCCACTATTAGAGCAACCTGGGCTATCATAACACCTGAGCAGTGCCACAGACTGATCGACTCCATGCCACGCCGCATTGCTGCAGTAATACAGGCCAAAGGAGGCCCAACTAAATACTGAGTGCTGTACATGCTCATACTTTTCATGTTCATACTTTTCAGTTGGCCAACATTTCTATAAATCCTTTGTTTTTATTGGTCTTCAGTAATATTCTAATTTTCTGATATGATGAATTTGAGATTTTCATTTGTTGTCATTTGTAATCATCAAAATTAAACAAAATAAACATCTGAAATATATGAGTTTGTATGTAATGTATGAATATAATATACAAGTTTCACTTTTTAAATGGAATTACTGAAATCAATCTACTTTTTCATGATATTCTAATTTTATGACCAGCACCTGTAATGTTTACCAATAATTAACTAATATATTTTCTTTCCAGGCCATTCCAGAACATCACCGAGTTTGAAGGCCAGGATGGCTGCGGTTCCAACAGCTGGAATATGGTGGATGTGGAACTGAGGCCCGATAAGGAAACGGACCCCGGCGTTCTGCTTTCAGGCCTTAAACCATGGACGCAGTACGCCATCTTTGTTAAAGCCATCACCCTCATGGTGGAGGACAAACACATGCCTGGGGCCAAGAGCAAGGTGGTCTACATCCGCACCAGCCCCTCTGGTACGTTGGTTTATCTCCCCGCTATGCTCCTTTTATTGTTGCTATGATCTTTAGGTTTAGGAGAGAAATAATGTAAAGTTTCTATTTATATTCTTTAGTCTTTAGTGATCCCAAATACTAAGCTTAACCTCTTACACCCTCAGGGGGTATAAATAAATTTCTGCCTGACAAAAACACACAAAAGTAAATCACTTATAGCCTCACAGCTATTAGATTTAAGAAGAAACTTTTGGTACGTCTGTAAAGGTAAGATGTCATAGAATGGTTTTCTGGTGTCAGCACCATTGTAGCTTTGACCCTGCCTGAAATATTAGGGACAAAATACAAAATATTTTGCATTTTTTGAACCTCGCCAAAATTTTCTTTGAAATAAACATTGCAAAACACTACCAAAATATTATTTATAGCACAAAAAAGTAGTACAGACTTTTAAATCTAAATGTTGTGTAAAAATATACCAAATTTGGACTCGAATCAGATGAATCATATTTCTTTTAGAATGGTATTAGTGAGAAATTTCTTAGGCGGAGGGGCCATTTTGGCACATTTATCCAAAAATGTCACCAAACTGTGCCAAATGTGTTTTTTACATCAATACTGGGGGTTTGTTAAAATTACGAGGTCACGTAGCAGCTGGACCCGCCGGTGGGTCCGTAGGGTTCTAGGGGTTAAGATAGTATCGTTTTGTTTTTTTGGTTTTTTACCATACATACGGATGATCTAATGCAATCAAAAGATTTTTTCCCCTTTTAAAAGCTGTTGCAATAAGCTTAGAAAGTGAATCCAGAGAAGTTTTAACAGGAAGAGTTCAGCAACCGCCTTATTATGGAGTGGAATTTGTTCCATTATTGTTTAAAAATAAAAAATAAAAAAATTATAAATGGTATTTAAAAATAACGGCAGCTCAGAAATGAAACTTTGAAAAACATCTCTATTAAGAAAACGTTGTGGGAGTAATTATTTTTTTTGCTCAGATGTTATATACATATTTAATAATTATTTTTTTTTTTTATATTTTATTTATGTTTCAAATTGTATTTCTTCAAAATTTGCTTTTTCTGGTTGAATTTCATGAATTTGATTATTAAGTTGTGTTTTTACAAAATGCATACTTTCTCAAAAAAACTTAATCTACAAACGAGAAATTTGGAAAAAAAAAAAAAAAATCTAATAATTAGAAAAAAAATCTATGAAAATAGTAAAGTTACACTCAAAGCCATTGTTTTTCCATTTTGACAAGTTTTATGTCTTTGCTTGCAACAAAAATGGAACATAAGTTACTCCATACCTTAAGAGGTGCAATATCATCAAAAGTTGATCCAGTTCAGGACTTCTGTGCACAATTATTAGGCCAGCGATCATCGTTAAGCATGTTTTCTAACCTGAAAGCTGATTGGGTTTGATCATATCAGACAGTGTGTGTTTGTGTAATGGGAGAGGCTGTTCCCTGAGGAGATCAACACCCTTAGTCAAGGTGTGCATAAGCATTGAGAAGCTTCTGTTCTCCAGGCAGAATGAGGCTAAAACAAATGAACTCGCTCTTAAAGGTAGAAAATGATCAAAAGTAACAGCATTGCCCCATTGCCGCCCTCGACCTGAACGCCTGTGAGGATTTGTAAGGCCAGTAGATCCAGAGCGCCGTTAAACTCTCTGTTTTCCAATATTCTCTTTAGAAAACCTAACTATTACTTTTTTTAAGCCAGCTTGGGTTCACTGAGACTTTTTGGGATTAACTGCGAACCCCAACAGTTAACCGGTTTAGATTTGTCACTTTGTCACTCAGTAATATATATTCGAAGCAACAACATCTGTTCATTTAAATGATTGACTTTTTATGTAAGACCATTTTCAGACAATAGAAAACGACATAACATCACATGCCATCATTTTATAATTTATGACCAAGGAATGAATGTGAAGCAGTAAAGCAGAGCTTCCTTTTTTGCACGGTTTTCTGCATTAATGCGGTGTAGCATGGAGGCCGTCAGCCTGAGGTTCTGCTGAGGTTTGAAGGACATCCAGGTTGATTTAATCTCAGCCTTCAACTCATCTGCGTTTAGAGAACAGCTCTTTACATCTTACTAGGGTTTAAGCATGTTTTGGTACTAGACTGTTTCCTTCCACTTAACTTACCATAATCAACTTTTCTGTAAATAAATTTTTTTTTTTTTTTATAGTTTTGCTCTTTTGCGTCAATCAGAAGCTGAATTTAGTGTCTTCATTACCCATAAGCCAATAAATAAACACTAGAATAGAGCCAATCTGTGTGTAACATGTCTGTTAATCCACTGGCACCCCTGTGTGATTGGATCTTTTTTCTGAGTGAATACTGCCCCCTACTGGAATTTTGCTCTACAATCTAACCTTAAGCCATTTTCACTTCAATTAACGGAATTAACAGTGTGTGTAGATGAGACATTAGGCCGCTAACAAGTCTAATCATATATTTCTTATTATAATGATGAATTTGTTATCCAGATTGTTAACTGAATTATTCAGACTCTGAAATGTGCCAAAAAAATATATGGTCAGATCAAGAATAAAGCCAAAACTGCAGGGAAAAAAATGTCTATATATACACAAATGTATATATAAATGTATTGCAATGTGAAATATGAAGAATTTAATGATTGGAAACATGTCATGAAACATGTCTTCATTTCATAACATTTATCTCCATAATTTAATAAATAATTAAGCTCTGGAAGTAATCCAGTAATTCGCTCTCAATCTGCAAGTTTACTAGTGGTTCCTAGAATTTCTAAAAGTAGAATGGGAGGCAGATCTTTTAGTTATCAGGCTCCTCTCCTGTGGAACCAACTACCAGTTTTAGTCCGTGAGGCAGACACCCTGTCTACTTTTAAGGCTAGGCTTAAAACTTTCCTTTTTGATAAAGCTTATAGTTAGGGTGGCTCAGGTTATCCTGAGCTATCTCTATAGTTATGCTGCTATAGGCTTAGACTTTTGGAGGACATAGGGACCCCCATTTCATCATTCTGCTTCATTCTCTCTCTGTTCTCCTATTCTGCAGAATCTGTTAGTTCAATCTCTAACCTTCTGCTCTCTCTGCTTTTCCTCAGAGTAGCTTTGCCTCGTCTGTTCCTGTTTGGCTGTGACGTCATCCTGGAAAGAAACATCAGCTGTGCTGCTTCTATCAACACCCTTGTTTATAGATGTTGGAGATCGGCCTGTTTTCCAGTGTGGTCCTGTTTCTCTGACTGTGACTGAGTGGATGTGCTCTCTTCGTCCTCTGGCATGGGAGCTGCCTTGGAGCTCGTCTGCCTGGCTGTGTGTTTCCTGGACGGGGCCGCCTTTTACAGCTGCTTTTTGTGTCTCTGTTTCTGTCTCCTTGAACCCCAGTCGGCCTCGGCAGATGGCCGCTCACACTGAGCCTGGTTCTGCTGGAGGTTTCTTCCTGTTAAAAGGGAGTTTTTCCTCTCCACTGTCGCTACAAGCATGCTTAGTGTGGGGGATTGTATTTGAGTCAATGAGTCGATGCAATCAACTGGTTTTCCTTAGATAGAAAACTTTGTATCAATTTGACTGTATGATCTGGTTGAACTGTAAAGTGCCTTGAGATGACATGTGTTGTGAATTTGGCGCTATATAAATAAACTGAATTGAATTGAATTGAATTGGAAAACCTCACTTTTTTTTCTGCTGAATAATCGGTTAGCTGGCACTGCGCTGCCAACTAGTGGCTGGAGGTTTAAGGGTTGAGTAAAAGTAAGAAAATGACATATATTTACTCCTATAAATATATTTTTTTTACATTTCAGATCCATTTGGCCGTATTTTTGAACAGATAAAACTGTTGTATAATAACAATTTTTAGATTTTTGACTGAATCCATTTTTTTTCTTCAACCCCTTATATAAATGTGTATATATATATAGATCTATATATACATTTATATAAGGGGTATAAGAAAAAAAAATGGGCTGGGAAATATGGCTTTAAAAAAACGAACCTATGACTTCTTTCCCCTACCCAATTAAAACAATCTTCTAATTTTCAGGATAAAAATAACAAAGCTTTTATTTTAATTACCCTCGCTGGGAGTTCTTTTATGTATTTATGTATATATATATATATATAAAAGATATAATCATGATAGAGAAAGATCCTTTTTTTCCCGTCATCAGCTATGAGAAACTTTTTACCCCTAATTGTGAATCCAGTCATTTGAACAAATCTTTAGGAGACGAGTGAATAATCTTTGAAACAAACACAGCTGCAGCTCAAAGGCACTCAGCGACTCCTGCAGAACTATAATTCAATAGAGGAGATGGAGGACTGGATGAACTGAATCCAGCTGCAGCGTAAAGACATAGCAGAGCTGTGATGTCAGGAAAAGCAGCTGCCCCTACAGACTCTGCATCCCAGACTGAATAGAGCACTTTCCCTGCAGATCCTAAGTTTGTGCCTTTTCTCTTTCAGCGCCCTCCATGCCTCAGGATGTGCGGGCCTATTCTAACTCCTCCACTCAGCTGGTGGTCCGCTGGTCTTCTCCCGTCTCCCCCAACGGAAATCAGACTTACTATTGGGTGAAGTGGCAGCAACAAGCTGAAGACAAGGAGCTTTACCAGCATAACTACTGCTCAAAAGGTCTTCCCGCACAACCGTTTACATCATTTATGGTGAATGTAACCCAATATGGCACTCATCCTTTGGTTTCCTCCCATCAGAGCTAAAGATCCCAATTAGGATTGCTGCCACGGGGATTGGAGACCAAGAGGAGGACACAAAGCCCACTAAACCGGATCCTGATGGAGCAGACAAAGGTCCTTGCTGCCCCTGCCCCAAATCAGCAGAAGATCTGGAGGCTGAAGCTGCAGACGCCTCCTACCGAAAAGTCTTTGAAAACTTTCTCCACAATTCAATTTTTACTCCAAGGTAACTTGCTTGTCTTCCCGATTTCATCCTAATTTTATTAAATGGGACTCCAGCTCTGTTGTTGCTGTACTTATATTCAGCGTTTGATTTTCTGGGGTTCAGAGCTGCAGCCTGGAACCAAAGACATCTGCGACGCATTAAGTCTCTTGGTCTCTACACACAAACATATGCACATGTAGATTAGCTTGGCATAAACAAACAGAGCAGTTGGATCTGCTCCCTTCTGAAGATCAACTTCAGGTGATGCATGACTCTGAGGATACACTTTCCTGTTTACCTTATCCTCAGTCTGGCTGTGTGTTCCAGCTGAAGCCCTGCTGTGGAAATCAGGCTCCGCGTTTTGACTGGTTGAGCTTTTGTTTAAAGAGAAAAAGCAAATGGCGTCATTGTAAAATGTTGCCACTATTTAGTTTTTACAAAAAATAAACTTCTGTGAGCTTTTGTCTTAGTGTTTCAAGGATGTTTTTATCTGAATTGGCTCCCATAAATAGACTGATCCACAGCTAAAGGATTGTTGTAAGAATGTGTTTCATCAATGGGAATTAAAAAAAATAAAAAATGCAGTCCTGAAAAAATTTAAGTTTGAAAATCTAATAAAAAAAATAGGTTTTAAGAATAAATTTGCTGTTTTCACAGTTTTCCCTTTTTTGTCTTTTAAATTTCTTTTTCTGATTCAGTTTTATGAATTGCATTCTTTTCAAATCGCATTTTCTTCACTTCTGGGGGCGGGCTTTCCACAGACGCAATGACGCATTTCTATTGGTCTGTATTGACCGTAGAAACAGCATTTTTATTGGTTAAGAAGGAGTGTTTCTATTGGGCTGGAAGTGGAGAGAATGTGAGTTGAAAAGAAGGCAACATGTAAAACTCAACCAAAAAAAGAAATTTGCTATAGAAAATTTAAACAAAAACTGTAAAAATAAAAAGAAGGAAAATATTGATTGAAAAGATTTTTTTTTTCTTTTATGAAAGGATAGCGTCTAGTTCTTAGTTGTGGTTGATTAATTAATTCATCTACTGCAACTAGAAATGCTTTGGGTGGTGTGCTGTTGGGTTTTGGCCTCCTAATAATCCGAGCCGTAACATTTTAAAGTGTTTTTTTCTTAGATGTTTTGGTTAATTGTAGATAGAAAGACTCACTGTAAACTCCACTGTCTGTTTATTAAGTCCTCTAGCTAAGAGGAATCATCCTGTTAGTTTAGAAATCCCTGAATGGATCAGCATCTCCACCCATAACAGATCTGTTGTCAGTGTATCAACCTCCCAGACCATTCAGGTCTTCTAGTTCCAGTCTACTCTGTCCACCCAGAACTAGAACCAAACGAGGAGAAGCAGCATTTAGTTCCTATGCTCCAATGATCTGGAACAAACTCCCAGAAGACTGAAAGCCTGAGTTCATTTAAGTCAAAAAGTCATTTGTTTAGAGCTGCCTTTGATTGTTGAAGTTGAACTGCTAACTGGTATTATTAGTTTAAGGTTGTGGTCCAACTATTTTGCTTGTTTTACACATGTATTTTGTCCTTATTCTGCTTTTATTTTTCTACTATTTTATTATCTAACTCCTTTAAAGCACTTTAAGTTGGCCCATGTACGGAATTGTGTCATACAAATAAACTTGCCTTGCCTCTAGAGTTTAAACAAAGTGAATTTATTTGGCTCGTCGATTGATGTACCCACTTCCCTATCATCTTCGCCTCTATTATTGTCCCCTGTAGGCCTCAAGATCGGCGGCGCAGAGATCTTTTTGGCGTGGCCAACTTCACCCGAGCGCCACGCTTCCAGCTTTATACCAACAGCACCGTGGTTCCCCCCCTTCAGGCCGCTGGTAACGGCAGCGTCTCTGTCCCCGAGCCCGCCGACCAAGAGTATATTATCATGGAGCAAACGGTGACCGAGCGCGAGCTGCAGATATCAGGCCTGGAGCCTTTCACGGTTTACCGCGTCGACATTCATGCCTGCAACAGCCAAGTTCACCAATGCAGCGCAGCTGAGTTCGTCTTCTCCAGGACCAAGCCAGCAGGTCAGAAGATGCAGATACAAACACCAAAGCTCACTGCAAGCACTCTGTGACTGGTACTGGCTCACTGTTGCATCTTCTACCCTTTGGTTCCTCAGAAAAGGCTGATGACATCCCAGGCCCGGTTAACTGGGAGGGCCAAGAGGACTGGGTGTTCCTGCGCTGGCCGGAGCCCACGCGGCCAAACGGACTCATCCTCATGTACGAGATCAAGTTCAAGCAGGCGGGAGAGGTAGGTCTGGGAAAAATCAAACATCTCACGTTTTCATTAGAGCTGCAACAAACTATTATTTTGTTAATCGATTAACCTGTCAATTTCTTTTTCGATTAATCCATTAATAATCGGATAGCCAAAGGTTTATTAAAGACTTTTTGCAAAATTAAACAAAATGAACAGTTGTATGCTCTATCTATCTATCTGTCTGTCTGTCTGTCTGTCTGTCTGTCTGTCTGTCTGTCTGTCTGTCTGTCTGTCTGTGAGTGTATATGTGTATATATATATAAAAAATAAGGTCCTTGAAAAGTGCTTGAATCTGATATTATAGAGGTTTGGGAACCTTCAAGGAGGTAAAAAAAAAAAAAAAAGACTGCTCAGCTCATCTGTTCACAGGATAGCTAAAACTTGAACGGATTATTTACAGTTTAGGTCCATGATGATTCATAAGTGAATGATTGTATTGAACCAATGAATTTCTGGTAGTAAATGAAACAGGAAGGTTCAGACTATGATGGTTTTAAACGTCAATATTACTTCCTGTTAGAAGAAACATGGTGAAATCAAAGGATTCCTCTAAACCATATTTTTTGTGTCCATCAGGCGGAGAAACACGAGTGCGTTTCTAGACAGCTTTATCGAACCCAGCGCGGCATTCGCCTGAACAACCTCAACCCAGGAAACTACTCGGTCAGAGTGAGAGCCACGTCGCTGGCTGGAAACGGCTCCTGGACGCAAAGCCTGCACCTCTACGTGGCTGAAAGTAAGAACTAATCTCTGAGGAAAACATTCAGGCTTCAGCAGTCGGACGAACCTTTAAAATGTTGTCGTCAACAGGTTACGAAAACGTCTTTGCTATGATCTTCGTCCCCATCGTCATCATCATCCTGATCTGCTCTTTGGTCTCCATGCTGGTCGTCCTCAACAGGAAAAGGTTGGTTCCTCCAAGTTCTGCTCTGCTTGGTTATCGTTTGGCTGCATGTTTCATCTATGTCACCACATGTTGGACATGCCGCACCTTTCAGATTCATTGTTAAACATTTTGGAAGAATGTTCCTCCTTCAAAGTTACTTCATGTTGGTATATATCATACAGGAAAGCAACAAAATGCAGTTCATTATTAGGGATGGTTGTTAAGGGATTATTGATACTATTACAGGATGTCAGCGGGTTTGTTAAAGCTTTTCAATGAAATCGACTCAAACCATCATGTTAAAGATTATGTTTGCAATATGCTTTTAATCTGCTTTGTAATCCAGGGTCCAATGAGTAGAAGCTTTTTTTTCCTGCAGCCTGACTTGTATTCATAGAGGAAGCGGTCTGGAGTCGCTCCCTCTTTTCCTCTAATCTCTGATCCTGTTTTGGATTTTTTTTTTATCTTAAATGCAAATTGTTTAAACATCTTTTTCAGGGTTCCTGCGGGTCCTTAAAAAGTCTTAAAAGGCATTGAATTCTTCAAAATAAAACTAAGGCCTTAATTGGTATTAAAATGTCTTAAATCAGTCTTTCGTAGGCCTTAATTTTTAAAACATCATAAATAGGATTATTTTTATTACGATTTATTTTTGTAATCGAAATAAAACATTAAAATTGACCCTTTTTTTATAAAAAAAAAATAACGGCTCGCCATTATTGGTTCCGTCCCGATAGCGGAACCAATAAAAGCGTTGTTGCGGCCGGGACATTTGGGAGATGCACCATTAACTTTTTGTCTGGAAAATATGAGCAAGTGTAAATGTAACCAAAATAGTCTCCAGCCAAGAGTTTCCTCCATGGCTAAAACCAGGGAACATACATGAGGCTCAGTGGATTTATGCAAGAAGTCATTCAAGCTCAGAACGATGGGAATTAAGGCAGTGGAGTCGCACATGCGAAGCACGAAACACAAAGCGTCAAAATGGAGTTACAGAGAAACAGCCGGTATTTCTCAGTTTAGTTCCACCCTTGTCTCTGCAACGCCTCCACTTATCACCAAATCAAACATACTAAGAAAACCATACAAAGAAAAATAGCTGCTAAAAAGACTTAGCACTGGTTATGTTGGGGCTTTAAAACTGATTTGTTTTGTTCCTTGCTAAAACAAAGTTTGTGAATTCAGTTAAATAATTGTTCAAATATATCTGTCATTTGTGTGTTTTTAGCTTTCTTCCTGTATGGGAAGCTTTTCAACATTTGAAACATTAGTGCAGTGGTTTATGTTAAAATAAACCTTTGGGTTAAGTTGTCGCAAGCAGGTGTTTCTTGTGTTTCTTGTGAATTTGGTCTTAAATTTTTATTTCAAGTGGCATTAAAAAGTCTTGAATTTAACTTGCCTTATGCTGTAGAAACCCTGTTTTTACAATTATGCTATAATTCCTGCTCTAAGTGCTCTGTCAGTTAAAGGTATGTTTTAGAGTCTCTATACTGCAGTTAACCATTAATCGATTACTAAATTAGTTGACAATTATTTAAATAATCGATTGATTGTTTCAGCCCTTATAAACCCTTTTTATTCCATTAGGAACAGCGACCGGCTCGGGAACGGAGTCCTCTACGCCTCGGTCAACCCGGAGTACTTCAGCGCTGCAGAAAGTCAGTCATCTCTTTGCTGCAGACGTAAAATCAAACTTCTATCTGTGGTTATAGGAGCAGAGTTCACAGACAGCCTGTTTTCCTCCAGTGTATGTACCAGATGAGTGGGAGGTGGCCCGGGAGAAGATTTCCCTGTGTCGGGAGCTGGGCCAGGGGTCCTTCGGGATGGTTTACGAAGGCTTGGCTAAGGGTGTGGTCAAAGACGAGCCGGAGACACACGTCGCCGTCAAGACTGTAAACGAGTCGGCCAGCATGAGGGAGAGGATCGAGTTTCTCAACGAGGCATCTGTTATGAAGGAGTTTAATTGCCATCATGTGGTACGAACAAACATCCCCAGTGGACATGGATGTAGCTGTTTGAAAAGCAGGTGGGAAAGCTGCTGTTCTCTGGTTTTGTTGTGCAGGTGCGTCTCCTCGGTGTGGTTTCCCAAGGCCAACCCACCCTGGTCATTATGGAGCTGATGACGAAGGGAGACCTGAAGAGTTACCTTCGCTCACTGCGTCCTAAAGAGGTAAAAGACTCTACAGATGCTGGTTTGATTAAGATTATTTTCATTGGATTAAGGAGTTGATGGAGAGCCAACCCATCTCAATCAGTCGGTACAAACAGTTCATCAGAGGAACAGCCTGCAGGTAATTTGGTCCATGCATTGTGACCGCAGAGCTCAGGAGAATTTGGATCTCTATGCTATCCCACGCTGCTACCATCAGGTTTCAATCAGAGCGTTCCATGAGTTGCCCCTGTCGTTACGTTTCGCCCCTTTTAAACTGACGATGAATTAAATTAACTTTAACATCACAAATCCTGCCTCCTGTCCGTGTTTCTGCAGCAACAGTTTTCCAGCCTGTCTCTCCCTCCGCTGAAAAAGATGCTTCAGATGGCGGGACAGATCGCCGACGGCATGGCTTACCTCAACGCCAACAAGTTTGTCCATCGAGATCTGGCCGCCAGGAACTGCATGGTGGCCGAGGACTTCACTGTCAAGATAGGAGGTGACTCCGCACTCCTTCATTAAATGTAGAGAGTCCTCATCGGCGTGCGCTGATGCACATCCGGTTCTGGCCTATTTTTGTTTGTGTTCTGAGCAGATGCTTTCAGGTTTGTTTCCTCTGTGGGAGAACTGTGTGACCTCTTAGTCTAAAAAACACCCACACAATTATAGGAACTGTTCTGCACTACAATTTAAAGGTTTCTGTGGGTTTGAATGTCTGTAAAACCAGCATGGATACCTCTCCAAAGGATTATGGTTAATTTAATACTATTTCTGGGGCTGTAATCTCCCTAAAGAATGCCTTCCTCTCCTCCACGGAGCCGTTCGTTCGGCAGACGGCAATTACAGCCAAAGAATTAGCTCAATATATCGCTTGGAAAGTGTTTAAAAGTTTTCGGGATGGTGTTTTTCTAATGCAGCGGGGTTGGCTAAGTGGACGTTGTCCGTTCTTCATCTCTCCGCAGATTTCGGGATGACCAGAGACATCTATGAGACTGATTACTATCGCAAGGGGGGGAAAGGTTTGCTCCCTGTCCGCTGGATGTCCCCGGAGTCTCTGAAGGACGGCGTTTTCACTACAAACTCAGATGTCTGGTAAACAGGCCTTCTTGTTCTCCATGTGGTGCATTTAAAAACCTGGTAATGCAAACCAGACTCTCTGAGCTCCCCGTGCTGTTTTTTCCCCTGCAGGTCCTTTGGGGTGGTGTTGTGGGAGATTGCCACCCTGGCAGAGCAGCCCTACCAGGGTCTGTCCAATGAACAAGTCCTTCGTTTTGTAATGGAGGGAGGCCTACTGGAGAAACCACAGAACTGTCCAGACATGCTGTAAGGAACCGCACATACACCAGCCTGCACTACAAACCTTTATGCATCCATGTCCTCGCCTTTGTGTTTACCATGTTTTCCTTCCCCTGCCTTCTTATTATGAGCGCCTCCCGTTCCCCCCACCCTGCAGCGGTGCTGCTGTCCGTCCCTCTCTGAAGCTCGTTCCACTCCCTGCCTGTTTGTTACATTCTGCCTTTTCTGGTTCTGTGCTTGTTTCTAATTTTATATTATATTAAATTGCCTCTTTTATCAAGGCAAAATATGAACAACTTTTCAAAGCATGGCAAACAAACATGGCGTCTGGTGGGGAAAAGGAAACGTATAGCTGTGTCTTATTTCAGAATTACCAGCTTGTTTATGTTGTTGATGTGCGTTTTAAACATGAGATAACCTCAGGAATCTGCCTCCTCCTTGATTTAGAATATATTCTTATTAAATTAGCAAAAAGCTGTCCCATAACTAACAGGCTACCTTGTCAGAACCTGCAGGTTTTCTTTTGTTGGTTTGTTTTTTTCTGAGATGCAGGAGTTTCATTCTGAACTTTTTTTTTTGTTGTTGCAATATTTCTGGAACTTTACAGAAACTTTATCCTGAAAATTCAGAGTTACTTTCCTGGAACGTACAGGTTAATTTTTGGATCTCAAAATTTGTTTATTTTTTCCCCCCAGATGTTGCAGGATTTCTGGAACTTTGAGGTTTTAACATGCCTTCTAAACTTAAATTGTATCTTATCTTTTTAGGAACTTGCTGGTTATATTTTTAGTAGCTTGTGGGTTATTTGTTTAAACTTACTGTTTACCTTTTTAGGAAGTTGTAGGTTATTTTGGTACCTTTTGAAACTTGCCTGTTTTTTTCTTTTTATGTACGCTTAAGAGCTCTACGTTACCTCTGGTTATTCTCTGGTACCTTCTTGGACTCATAAGCCTAATTTCCACTACACTTGAAAAACCGATCCATGTCGAGACCGGTCCGAGCTCGGATCAGTTAACCAGGCCGAGCTCGGTTCTGACGACCGTTTACACATCATGCTATCTCGGTTCCTCGCCTCCGAGTGACTATCTGCGGTATTACTGCCAGTGTTGAAAGAGGAAATCAAGTAGTTGGTGGCGGTAATGCACCAAAAGTTGTTTGCCAACCGCCATAAAACACAAGAAGAAGACGAAGAAGGAGGGAATCAAGCAAATCAAAATGGCGGCGCCCCTCATATTCAGAAAATTATGCTTAATTATTATTGCTGTACTTCGGTGTTATTATTTAAAATGCCATTATTTAAAATGTTGCGTGGAGAAGAGGAAGAAGTTGTTCTTCTTCTTCTGTTTCTGGAGGGGCATTACCGCCAACTACTGGAATGGAGTGTAAATCGCGATGTGCATCCAGACGGAGATGACGCGTTCTGCTCATGCGCTCTTGTTATCAGAGAACCGAGCCCACCTCTGGAACTGGTCTGCAGTTATCTCGGTCCGGTTGTGTCTAGCTTGGTTCAGTTCAGTTTGCTTTCCATTTACACACCATAAGTGATCCCAGTTACTGAGCTCGGACCGGTCTCTGCACGGTTTTTCAAGGGTAGTGTAAATGGGGTAATAGAGAACTTTAATGTGCAGAGTTATTTCCCAAGATGCTTTTCCTAAATCTCGGGGTATTTTTTCAGGAATTCGTTGCTTCCTAAGCATACATGGTTCTCTCTAGAACTGAAGGAATCTTTAGCCAGTAGCTCCAGGCTGGGTCATTAGCACTACTGCATTTCCTTAAACGATGAGTTTAAGGTACCTAATAAATGGATGAACACTTTTTTTCTTAGGACAAATATAAACAGGACTTATATATATCAGGCATGTATTTAAATCCCTTTAAATTATTAAAGTTAGTTTAAAAAATCTGAAATGAAAAATTTAAATGGTTATTTTCCTAAAGTAAAAAATTCCATAAAAAGTTTTTTTTTTTTATCTTGAGCTGATCAAATCATCTGATCGTAGCTGCTTGGTTAGAATATAGACAAAAGAGATTAATGCTCTTATTTTTAGTCAAATATTCCCAAATGTTGAACTTTTCTGAAATAAAAGACACTTTTTTTGACAAACTTGCTTTAGCTGTCAATTCCGGAAACTGAAATGGGAAGGAGCGGATACATGCCGCCATTTTGGCTCCAGAGAGCAAATATTTTGCCAAAGTAAATTATTGTGGGATTGCAGCGGGAAATTGATGGAACCAATATTTCTGTGTGCGCAGGTTTGAGCTGATGCGGATGTGTTGGCAGTTCAACCCTAAAATGCGTCCCTCCTTCGTGGAGATAATCGGCAGCATAAAGGATGAGCTGGACCCGTCTTTCAAAGAGGTTAGTTTCTACTACAGCGCCGACAACAAGCCCCCTGAAGCTCCGCAGCTCCACCTGGACAAGCTGGGTCACACAGTGGATGCTGGCCTGGATCCTTCTGCCTCCACGCAGCAGACCCCCCCTTCCCCCGGCTCGGAGGGCCCACCCGCTCCGCCACAGGCCCCCAGCTCCCCCTCCTCTCCCTGCACATCCAGCGCAGCGAAGGTCCCGGAGCCGTCAGGCCAGCAGGCAGCGAACGGACTCTCGGGAACGGGCCTTCCTGCGAGCGCGGGACCAGCGGCCGGGTCGGGCTCCAACATGCGGCCGTCCCTGGACGAACTGCCGCCGTACGCGCACATGAACGGAGGACGCAAGAACGAGCGCGCCATGCCCCTCCCACAGTCCTCAGCCTGCTGATAGAGCAGGCTGTGAAGCGTCCACCCACCCCAAGAACAAATCCTATTGAGACTTTCCCTACAGGATGGATGTAGGCATTTGGACACCAGATTAAACTTTCAGAGTTACTGTCCTGCTGTGAGGCCGCACACCTTCTGTTCTTTTTTGTTGTGTTTTTTTTTTTTTTGAATAACCTACTCGTCGGAGTTTGTACCCGCTGGCTGTCATTTGTGACACCGCTCCTATTGCTGAGCGGAAAGATAAAAAAAAAAAAAAAAAAAAAACATCTTCAAGAATAATTTGGAGGAGAGCCATTTTGCTCTCTGCGGCTGGACTCGTTTTATAGTTCTTTGTTACTTTTTTTTTATCCGTTTCCGTTTGAGGAAACGACATGCCTTGTAAATGAGCAGCGTTTTGAGCGGGCATTATGTTGAAAACTTCAAGCATATCTAATGAAGAGAGGTGGCGGTTCGCGGATGGGCTCGCCGTAAAGGTTGAGCGTCAGCATAATGCCGGGTCAAAAGCCAGTCAACCGGAACAAGCGATGGGAGAACAGTCAGCTCTGCCAAATCTGTTGCTTTTCACGTCGTTTCTAAACCCCGTTGACTCTTAGAGACACGGCCGTGAAAAACGGAAGAATAAAGAATAAAAAGCACCTTGATCTTCCTCCTCCGGATAAAACGGACGTTACCTTTCCTCCACTCTCCCACCCTGCTTCTCCAGCTTCTAGAGCAGCGGTCCGGTCGGTTTACCCCAAACAAAGCCAGCTCCAGCAGGTCGCTCAGAGTTCAGCTTTAATGGTGCAGCAAGATGTGCAAAACAGAGCCGTAAAGCTAAAAGGACATGAACCTGTGAGTCCCCCCCACCCCCCCGAGGTCAGAGACGTCCTTAATGTACACTTTTTCTTTTTTTTTTACACTTGTAAATATTCGCCAACATTTTCATCTCTACCTGTGCAGAGCATTTATGTACAAACCAGTTGTTTTTTCACTTTTCTAACTTTTATACAGTCAGAGACTTTCTTTATGTACAGAAAGAAGCTGCTATTCATCATTTCTCTTGTGGTTGTTATATAGTCAGTATATTATGAGTATATTAAAAGGAGAAAAAATCTTATTCAGGTTGGTTTTTGCTTAGAACATTTTCACTCCACATCATTTGTTTTTTTTAGTCATTATTTTATTGTTTATTAATTGATTTTTGGATGTATTTCATAAACGGTACAACAGTTTGCCTCGTATAGAGAGACGCCGTATCTCCCCCACCTGCCACTAGAGGGCACCATGCTCTCTAAGAAAAGCCTGGTTTCTCAGATAGAATCTCAGGTGAAAGAGAAAAGTAGAATCCTTCTCTGCTCCATGTTTTCTTTCTTTACCTCTGCTGCTGTCGCCTGGTGACTTCCTGCCTGGTGTGTCTGTTTTTTCTTTTCTCAGACTTAAAGCGATGTTTGTTGCCACAGAGGTTGCGCAGTCTCCATCCTCTGCATGCAGCCAAAATACTGACAAAAAGTAGAAAGACTTCAAACATTTCAGTATAAAAAATGCTCAGTTTATTTATTGAATGTAAAAAAAAAAAGAAATGTTTATTTTTCAATTTTTTTTCCTCACATTTGCTGTTTTCTCCAACCAGCATTCATTCGTTCTCTGATCCAAACCTGCTTTCACCGCAATCAGACTCCAAGCGAATGGATTAGAATAACATTTACTGTTAGCTTTTAAAGTCTGATTAAAAAATATATAATTCTATATAGTAAAAAGATTCCAGAATTTTGCTCAAACACTGTTAGAAATTTATAAAGATCTCTCCTAAAAACCAGATTTGACATAAAAATTCTGTGATTTATAGAAAAGCTTCCTGCTTGGATTCGTTTGAAAGGAAACATGAAGATGTTTAGATTGCTATTCAGCATATCTTGACTCTTTGGATTAATCTGACTGTTTAATTGGTCGAAGGTGGATGTTAATTCAAACTAAAGAGTTAATCACATCTTCCAACTACTGAGAAATAAAGCTTAAAATAACAATTTTCTATTGCTGTTGCCATGGCAAGAAAATAAAATGTCACCAATTGAAACGTTAACCAGAAAAGTCATTAACTTTTGTTGTTATTCAAACAGGAATTCAAGATTATTATTTATAAAGAAGTCATGATTACATCTTAATAAACTTCTATTCTGAAAATCTAAAAAGAAAAACATTAAAACTACTAAATAAGCTTCTTGTTCACTCCTTGGGATTAAATAAATGCTGAGATTGAGTTCCTGTTGTATCCAATAGTCAAGAGGAAGGCAGTTTTTCTTCTTTTTGGTATTAATTTTATAAAAAAAAAATATATCACATTTTAAATAAAGCTAAAGATCCTGTTTAAGTATAATTATATCGAGGTATCACTACAAAGGAAATTAATTATTTGACGATTTATTGAAAGAAATTAGAGCTTTTGTTTTCATTCGTCATATTATATTTAGATTAATAATCCAGGAATGAATAATCCAGGGGTATTCCTTCCAGATAACCAGACCTCAAGCGTGTTTTGTTCGGGCATTAGGCTTCTGATGGAAGGGATGGTGCAATCCTGTCAGGATTGAAAAACATAACTTTATTTAAAAATAAATAAAAAATAAAGACAAGCGGTTTTTATTTATCTCTGTGATTCCAACATAAACCTCCACCTCATTTAGGGTCTCAGTTTCTGACTCAGAAGCAGCTTTTCCTGCACTTTATATGTCTGTATATAAATGTTCAAATGATCAGAAAGTCAAAGTACGTCATTGGGGTGTTAAATTCAGCTGCGTTTGATCCAGGAGGGAAACTCACACTCTGGTAACGGTAAGTAAAAGTTAGCGATGCTGTTATAAGAGAAATAATTTAGGTTTATCTTAAAAATCAAGACATGTTATAATATAGTTGCTGGTTTCCTTCTGCTTGTTGCTCCCTTCCTTTTTTTGTTATTACACACAGTTTAACCCGAGTGAAACAGTTTAGTTATTAAACATAAAATGTTTTACACTGAAGCAGATGTTTTCTATCAGGCCTCTTACCTCTGGTTTGTCCTTTTGGAGGCTTGAAAATTACACAAAGGGAAAATTAGAGAGCGGATAGAAAAATAAAGTTAGAGGAAAATGAAAACCTTTATAACACGTTATTGTTTTTTCCTTAATATAAAGTCGATTTTCTGCTTGCTCTTTCCTGAGGATGTTTCCTACTTTTTGTCAGCGTTACCGTTCCTTCTATCAAATCAGGATCAACTGTAACAAACTGACCCGTTACTGCTCGTTTTTCTGCTGCATTAAACTGGATCGTTACATTTACCTCTTGATCAGATTATTTCCCAAACTGTTTTATTTCCTCTCTACTCTGTGAACATTTGAATGGGTTTGATGAAGGTTTGAGCCAAAAAACTGGACTGAATTTAAGTTCCCGCTTTTCTTGTGAAATAAGTGGTGACCTGTAAGAGAAACGCAATTTAAAGTCCGTCTCTCAGAGAGAAAAAATGCAATTTAAGTCTAAATATCCAACTTTGAGCATGAAGATTAAAATAAAGGAGAAATTTAATGGAATGGTCTCAATGAGCAACATTTGGATTTAATTCCTGGACGTTCTTTGATATTTTCTGTTTTTTTGTGAAGTTGTGATCACTGTGCAAATCTCCCCCTGGCGTTTATTTGGACCTGATTTTTTTTTTTTTTAGAATTTGATATTTTGGTATCTTCCTTCAACCATCCACCCATCTCACTTTTCTTTTCGTCCAGTCTGTGTACTTGTATAAAACACTAAAGCTGTCATCTCAGCGGATTGATGATCTCACTGGGTGCCGTTCAGCACGGTCAAATAAAAAACACAAACCTAACGGGCTCTGATGCATCAAACGTTCGTCACATGGGACCAGTTCAAGCTGACTGATGGTTTCACTGGAACCTTTTGTTTCTATCACTTTAACTCAAGTCAGATTTAGTTTTTTCCTGTTTTAGTTGTTTACTGTTTCCAACATAGTTTAACTGTAAATTGAAGAAATGTTTTTTAAAGAAAGCAGTTTCTCTAAAACTAGACCTGTGCTGGAGCTCATCAGCGTCTGGGTCGAGCGTCTTGTTACGAAACTTCATAATCCATTTCTGGAATGGGCTTTGTTTGTGGTCTGTTTTTTGCCAGATTTTGTTCCTTATTTATCACTTAAACATTCAAAAAAAGTAGTTTTTTTCCCAATCCCCCCCTTCCCTCTTTTTACACACACACACCCATACATACATACCTATATATATGAATATATGTATGTGTGTGTGTGTGTGTGTTACATTGACGATTTGTTTCATTTATTATAAAATATCTAAGTTATTGATGGCCTTCCAGTTCCCGGATTTTTGTTACGATTGTTTGGAATGATTTTTTTGTTTTTCTGCTTTTCTGTATCTTTTTTTTGTTTTTTTGTACATGCTGTTGTAAGATTTAGTTTTTTCTTGTCAGTATATGGGATACCGGGATAAAATGATTGGCTGAAGGAAAAGAGAATATCTATTTCTTGTTCTATTTTTTTTATACACAAACTTTAAGAGAAATAAAAAAAATGTATGCAAACTTCTATTGTATGCCTTTGTTTTGTCATTGAACAATTTGAAATGAAGAAAACGTCCCTCATGCTCCCTGTTGTGCATCTATTATAATGTTGTCCAGGATTTTCTCTTATATTAAAGGTATTGTGGAGGATTTTCCCGAATTAAAAAAAAAAAAAAATGTGTGTCTTCACTTAAAAAAAAAAAAAAAATGTGCATGCGAGAGTATTTTATCTGATGCCCATTTCTCCTCGTGCACGCTCTCTATAAAAGTTGCTGTTCTCATAGCTCATACTGTCTCCGAATGTCCCCTCTAACCCCTAAATCCCTCAATCACTATATAGAGCGCGGACTTTATAGTAAACTCAGTTAACTTACCGTTTGGACAGCTGATCACCTCCTCCTTGGTCCACTGCGTGGTGCCTGCGTCAGGGTAGCAGCAGCCTATGGCGACAACGGGCCGCTGTGACAGCAAATCCCATAATGCTTTGCGAGGAGAGCTCTGTGCAAAGCATTCTGGGATATATCTGCCTCTTCTGAGGCCTTTCTAAAGGCCTCAGAAGTTATTCTTGAATACGAGGTATTGACACCTTTTCTCTTACGACCCTTGGCCATTTTCAAAGCTCACCACAGATATACACATGAAAGTGCTCGAGTGCAGAAAAAGATATCTAACTGGGTGAGTACGGAGGACAGCCTTACGCACACATATCACCAGAATGATTGACAGTT